TTCACTTTTTCTTGCAACTGTATATGGAAACCTTTTGGAAAAAAGACTGAATGGTCTAAACAGGTCTCCCTTTTTCACAAGAACTGTTCAACTTAATTGGCATTTAGAGGGATCTCCAGCTGTAATAATAGAACAAATCACCACAAAAGCTTGCCAACACAACGTTTTCTCAGTCATCACTCATCCTACTTTAGTTTGGCATTCACAGGATGTGTAATCCAAATATGTGCTATGTTTTCACAGACAAATACAGACTAGTAGAGATGATAGGGTGCCTGCAGACAGTCGGATAATCATATGTGGGTACGAGCAGTGATGCCAAGCCTTGTTCAATCAGTACCAGTAATAAACAAACTACATTTAAGGAACACATTAAAGGAGAATTTGACTAATTTTCCCTAAACACACTGACTGTCTGATTTATTTAAATATAGTGAATCTGCTACATACCATTCTACCATAGGGTATTTGTACAAATCACTTACATTATGCTTTTAAATGAGGCTAAGAAGACTTATGGATTTAAGCCTGCAAGCAAGAACAAGCATTACACCAGTCAGAAACGCACACACTCACACTAACTTGCACAAAAAACTTCCTTTGCACATCTGTCTCTGTCAATACAGCAGCGCCCTCTAGTGTTCACATGGTGGTTGTACCTCTCCTGGCTTGAAATGCACACTTGCTGCATCCTAAACTCTAAAAGAAAATACTAGTCTGGTAGAAAGAGGTGGAAGAAGTACTCAGATCTGGTACTTAGTTAAATTAGAAGTACCAGAGTGTAGTAATACTCTTGTTACAATTAAAAGTCCTGCATTCAAAACTTGTCTCAAGTACAAGTACAAACGTATTAGCATCAAAATATACTTAATGTACCAAAAGTAAAAGTACTTGTTTAGCAGATAGATTTAGAATCTAAAAATGCCAATGTGATAGAAATTTAGGTAGAGAAGTCTGACATTCTTAGAGTACAGTAAGCTGTCAGTGTCAACAGAAATCTTGTACTAGTTTGTACTAGATTTCAGGAAAACACTGTTCCATGAACTGTGCCAGGAAGCCTGCAGGGAGACATCATTAGTGCTATTAATTACACCTGTTTCAGCCTGCTTTCTCATTTCAAAATGTCTAGACTGAAAGAAACACCTTTCTAAACTTCCGTTATATATAGAATACGTTTTTTTTTTTTTATGTGAACATTATATGTTTAACTAAACAGTCAATTTTATGCAAAAGGGGAACTATTCTATTAAACTTGTAATATTTGATGTACATTTTGCCTATAATACTAGCTACTAAATTGAGTAATTATGGATTTCATGTTGTGGTATTATTTCTTTAACTTAAATATTTAATCTAATTACTGTAAGAAAGTAAAGCTAAAGAATGACATTTGTATTATTTTAAACTATCGCCATCTTTCAATTTTTTTTCTCTCCAAACAATATTAATAAGCATGTTTATTGGTTACTCTGGGATTAGAATAAAATGCACTTTTAATAAATATTGCAGACTTTGGATAACGGTTTAAACCAGTGGTTCTCAACTGGTGGGTCGCGACGCAAAAGTGGGTCGCGGACCCGTTTTGAGTGGTTCGCGGATGTTTGAGTGAAGAAAAAAAAATTGGAATTCTTTTTTTTGGGGGGGGGGGGAAAGAGTCAAACTTTTATTTTGAAGGCCCGATTTTCTAACGCTCTGCATGCAGTCGGCGTTGGACTGGAAGTACCGGAGACCATAAACGGTTTTGAAAACTTCTGTCACGTAGTGATCATCTTCTCAATAAAATATCTTTGCTGATGTTTTTTCGAGTCTTCAGGCCAATCAGAATCAAGATTGTTGCCGGAAGTCCCTACGGAGAATAACTTTGCGGTAGAACTCTTCTTTATACATCCATGGGTACAACTTCAGATAAAAATGAACACATAATGAAATATGACCCCCGGTTTGATAATTGACAGGTCACAGAACAATGGGGGCTATCTACCCTTACCC